CATTAAAAAGAATTCATTTGAATCAGTTCTAATGAGATGGATGAAACTGGAGCCCATTATACAGAGTGAAGTAAGCCAGAAAGATAAAGACCAATACAGTATATTAACGCATATATATGGAATTTAAAAAGATGGTAATGATAACCCTATATGCAAAACAGAAAAAGACACAGATGTACAGAACAGACTTTTGGACTCTATGGGAGAAGGCAAGGGTGGGATGTTTTGAGAGAACAGCATTGAAACAAGTATACTATCAAGGATGAAATGGATCGCCAACCCAGGTTGCATGCATGAGACAAGTGCTCAGGGCTGGTGCACTGGGAAGACCCAGAGGGATGGGATGGAGAGGGAGGCAGGAGGGGAGATCAGGATGGGGAACACATGTAAATCCACAGCTGATTCATGTCAATGTATGGCAAAAACCACTACAATATTGTAAAGTAATTAGCCTCCAACTAATAAAAATAAATGAAAAAAATTTTTTAAAAGGCAACAATTAATTTCACTCATTGGATATGAAAGCTTCACTTGCTTCACAGTGTTCAACCAAAAGAAACTTGACTGCCTGAAGACATATTTCAGTAGCAAGGGACAATACAAAAACAATAACGACTGAAGAATTGTATGTGCTATATTTTATTCTGTAATGGTTATCTTAAAAAAAAAAATCAGTTCTTTCCACAAACCACACACAAACACCAAAGAACAAAAGGAAATTTTTGGAGATGGTGGCTAGGTTTAGAACCTTGATTGTGGTGATGGCATGATGGGTATACACAGATATTCAAACTGATCAATATGCATATGTTAAATGTGTGTAAATGTTTGTATATCAATTATACTATAATAAAGCTTAAAAAACAGTGTTGATATACCCTGGTAGATGTCTCCTCTTCACATTTGGAAACACATTTTCTGAAGTATGCAGCTTATTCATGATCACTTCCTTCGTCTGTAAAATAAAGACTAAAAGTGTTACCTACCTTGTCAGTTTGTTAAAGATATTAATAAATGAATTGGCAAAGATGAAGCACTTTGAATAGTGCTTAGCACCTAATAACAATGCCATAAATTTTAGCTGCTATTACTATTGTTGCTGTTGTAGGTCTTTATAGCCTCAGGACTAGATATCTTCTTGGTCACCAATACTAAACACTATTCAAGTACTTTAATGAAATGTGCAGCTTCTCTCTACTGTAAAAGAATAAGCCCTGATCAGTTTTTAAATTTATGTTTGTTTTGTTTTATTTTTAGGCTATCTGGAAAATATTTCCAAGTCACATAAAAGAGTATTTATTTATTTGGTTAAATCATTTCAAAACTTTTATTAATATTAATTGGACTTCTAGGTATTTCCTATACTTGCTCATATTAACAAAGCCATCACACGTCTTTTCTGGCCTTTCTGTCTTTATTTTTACAGCCTGATTTGTTATTGGTCTTGATTAGATAGCCCACCTTCTTCTTTTTCCTTAATTTCCTGATAAATTTTTTCCTTCTAGCATTTTGGTATCTTAAGTCACAGTATTTAACACATGGAGAGTGAACAGGTATATCTCCTCAGGCAAAAATCACTTTCCTTATTCTCAATTGATATACATGTTGGAGGTTTCAGAGTACCATGTTTAGCCATAATGGTTTCAAATATAGATTTTTCAAGCTATAAAAAGATATAAGCAGTATTTCTAGCACAGTGATCCCTGTCATCCTTAGAAACCATACTTTTATTATTTCTGTGAACCTTGTCTCGTGAATGATTTTATTCACTTTCCATTTATATGGTGTAAACTAAATAACTTCTTATTTTTAAAATATTAATCTTCAATATCCTTGAAGACAATAGGAGGTAACTTGGATTGTTATACTGTAAAGTTAGATTTTGCTTGCTTTTTAGAGGCAAACATCTGTGGATTAAGTGATTAGTCACTTTGTGTCAGTGTTTAGAGTTTATTTTAAAAATCTGCTTACATGGATTAGAAGGATTTTTGTATAGAAGAAACAGGTCACCAACAGACTGAGGAGTGGGGATCAGCTCTTCTAACAGAGTGTAAAATGATGACATATCTTGTGATTTGCTTAGGGAAGCTGAGCCGGAAAGCAGACGATTTGTATATTTAAGTTGGTTGGTTAAGTTTGGTTTGGTTTAAACCAAAATGCTTTAGGTTGCTTACATTATTATCAATACATTTTACTAAATATTTGTTACCTGTTGCTTTTAGGTTTTTGAAACATGGTTTTTGAAATATATACCTTGCTATTAAATTTTTTTCTCATCTTAGTTCCTTGTGTGTGTTAGTCGCTCAATCATGTCCAAATCTTTGTGGCCCTGTGAACTGTAGCCTGCTAGGCTTTTCTGTCTTTGGAATTCTCCAGGCAAGAATACTGAAGTGGGTTGTCATTTCCTCCTCCAGGGAATCTTCCCAGCCCAGGGACCGAACCCACGTCTCCTGCATTAAAAGCAGATTCTTTACCACTGTGCCACCTTAGGGCAAGATAAAATAATCAGGTTTAGCTGTATTTGACTTAGCTTTGGAGTGTGTTTAAATATGCTTAGTAAATGAAATGGTGATATTCATTTTCACTCAATAAGTGACAAATTGATCATTCTTTCTCATCAGTTTAAAATACAATTGATAATATCATCCTACATTGTGATTTATCTTTCATAACTTTTATTTCCCCAGGCACCCCAGTTTTAAATTCTCCAAGGCACTATTTGTTTAGTTATTTGACACCAAGTCTTCACATGAAATTATAACTGTTTCTATACTTTCTTTCCATTTTGGTGCCTTCTCAGTGCAAGAACTAAGGATGCCAGCATTCTTCCTCTGTGACCATTTTAACTTAGTGGTTATGATACTATTGCCCCAGTTGGGGTTACTTGTCCAGGCTTTTCTGAACTAGGCTTTACCATTCTGAGTGATGGCACCCCCACATCCATCTACATGACTGTAGGCATGACTGCTATTCAGAGGATTCTGTGGTGTGATGCCCAGATCCCAACATGGGGGAGTGCTGTTCACAGACAGCCATCAGCCATTGTGAACTGCCTGGGCTGCCATGCCACCTTTCCAGGATTGCCCATATCCAAGGACTATGGAGGCATAAGGATTAAACCCCTTTCATTCAAACTCAGAAAACTCAGAAGCATCATCCTAGCTTCAGAGCTCCCCAGGGGTTGGTTGGGACTAGCAATAGGACTCCATCTCAGCCTTCTTTCTCCCTCTACTCATTTCTGCTTCATTTCTTTCCCTTCCACGGCTGTTATTCCCAAGAGCACTTCTTTTTTATTTTAAAGTAATTAAATTAATTAATTTATGTATTGCCTGGGCTGGGTAATATTGTGGCTCATGGGCTCTTTGTTGCTGTGCATGGACTTTCTCCAGTTGCGGAGAGCAGAGGCTATTCTCTAGTTGCGGTGCATGGGTTTCTCATTGTGGTCACTTCTCTTGGTGCAGAGTTCAGGCTTTAGAACACACAGACTTAGTAGTTATAGTGTATGGGTTTAGTTGCCCCAAGGCATGTGGGATCTTAGTTCCTGGACTAGGGATCAAACCCCTGTGCCCTGCAGGCTCATTCTTATCCAATGGACTACCTTCAAGAGCACTTAGGAAACCTCCTGAATGCTAATCTTCATCTCAGAGTCATTTCTTGCAATTTTTTTCTTATAATATAAATTTAAAATCTTTTGTATTGTATCTGTATATTCATCAGTGACAGAGACGCCTTCACTCTTGATCTGAACTTGAACGTGAACTTCATTAAAATCTTAGAATAATCTCTTTTGGGGTAGCACAACAGGTTAGTAATCATATTGATTTTAAATACTGAAATAAAATACACTTAAAAGCAGTTTTATTAAGTGATATAAATTTTCTTGTCTATAAAAAGCCCCAGAAGCAATATTTTCAGTATCATGTAAGTCTCTCATTATTTTCGTAACAGGAGTCAGTTCCTGGCCAAGGTGAAGTATTCTCTTTTATACCCAGTGGGAAGTAGTCCTCATCCCTGATCCATTTTCTCCAGTTTCTTTCTCAATAGTCACCAGGTCTGAAAATACCTGTGGGGATGACTCCCACTGAGTGCTCAAGTCAATTCTGTCCAAGATTGTCTCATCAAAAAGCTAAAGCTCACCTGTGGTTAGTGTATGGGGTTGGTCTTGCAGTCTTGCTTCCCTAATGCCAGTACAGTATTTTATAGAGCTAGGCACTTGCACCAACTCTGATCACAGGCCTAAGAACTAGATGCTGTTTTAAAATGTAAATTTTCATCATCATTTCTCTTACCTGGGAGTCTACCTAGGGCTTGTAAACCCCCTTTCCCAGGGTGTGGACACTCATTCCAAAGTATCTCCCAGATTCTACAAATTGTCACAATCTAGAAATGTCTCCTGTTGTATTCAGCTGATTATAGATCTAGATGCTGACTGGATGTAGGATCTTGTGTGTAGGGGCCCAATAGTTTGCTTTAGGAATGAATGCTTTGCTGGGGAGGTCCATCGGGATGTTTGCTGCTGATATGGTCACTCTGCTAGAATGACTGTTCTGTCTGAATGTCTAGATCTGTGCCTGTCCAGGCCAGGATTTTCTTCTAGCTGGTGTCTACCCTCGGCCATTCAGTGTATCTACATATCAGCAGGGAAAATCTTAGACTTCTCCATTTTTTACCTCCATAACTTTATGGGCAAGGCACAGATATACTCTATCAGTAGAGCCGTCTACAGTTCTTTTTAAGGTACCTAGTTAGGGCTTTTCTCCTTTTATCACATATCCATCCACTTAAGAGGCCAATTCAGAGCTTAAAAATCTCATCCTGATCTCATCTTTCTCTTTTAGAATTTTTGGTTTTATTTTTTTTTAATTTTTTAAAAAATTTTTTATTAGTTGGAGGCTAATCACTTTACAATATTGTAGTGGTTTTTGTCATACATTGACATGAATCAGCCATGGATATACATGTATTCCCCATCCCGATCCTCCCGCCCACCTAATATTAGTTCATTTTGGTAAGAGAGGAAAATTTAAAAATTAATAATCACTGTGAATAACCTCTACCAAAATTTTAATGTATCTTTTTTCACTGTTTTTTTAATGAGTGCAAACACACACACACACACCTTAAGACATACATGCAGTGTAAATAAGAATTATACTAAAATAGATTTAGCAATTATCATGAGCTAGGAGTTCTTTTAGGCATTTTATATGCATTTGGTATTCACAGCAACCATATGAGTTTACGTGGAGGGAACTGCTGTTTTTGTTTTTGTCTGCAGGCATCCACATCCCCTACTCTATCCACATGGGGCAACCACTGCATGATTTCAACTTGGGTTTACAGTCCTGGTAGGGCAGCCATTCTAGGCACTTTATCTTCCTCTGGCAAAGGATTGGATAAATATGTCATGATAGACCCACTAGATGCTCTTTCTCCAACTTGAATCTTGAATAAAATGACTTAAAAAGACTTGAAACCATTTTTATTATATTCATCTGGGTGGCACTCTCCTGAAAAGACTTGTTATAACTTTTGCAACCTAGATCTGATAAGCTGCTCTGAGACCTGCCCTTTCCCATGTGGAGTTCTTCAGATTTTTTTCTCTGAATCCATGAGATTTTGTACCCTTGAAATAACATTTTAATAGTTACCAGGTTAAATTTCACCCACTTAACACCAAAAAATCCCTAATCAATGTATAAATGTACAGAAACATATATGTATTATTTGAGTTTACAAAGATTGAAATTACGGATTACTGAAATTAAGTGACTTGTCCAAGATCATCCAGGAAGTAAGTCACATCAGGTATCTAGAACACAAGTTTGAACTTAATTTTAAAAAAAATTTTTATTGGCATATAGTTGATTTATAGTGTTCTGTTAGTTTCAGTATACAGCCAAGTGAATCAGTTACACATATACATATATCCACTCTTTTAGAGTCTTTTCCCATATAACCTTTACAAAATACTGAGTAGCGTTCCCTATGCTATACAGCAGGTTATTATTGGTTATCTGTTTTACATATAGTAGTGAGTTTATGTCAATCCCAATCTCCCAATTTATTGCCGCTCCCTTATTCCCTGGTAACCATAAATTTGTTTCCTATATGTGACTGTACTTCTGTTTTATAAATAAGTTCATTTGTATCCTATTGTTTTTAGATTTCACATATAAGTGATACCATACGATGTTTATCTTTCTGTGTCTAACTTACTTCATTGAGTATGACAATCTCTAGGTCAAACCATGTTGCTGAAAATAGCATTATTTCATGCTTTTTATGGCTGAGTAATATTCCATTGTATGTATGTACCACATCTTTTTTATCCATTCTTCTGTTGATGGACATTAGGTTGCTTCCATGTCCTGGCTATTGTAAACAGTGCTGCAATGAACATTAGGGTCCATGAAGCTTTTCAATTTATGGTTTTCTCCCAGTATATGCCCAGGAGTGGGATTGCTAGATCATAGGCATAATTATAATCAACTTTCTTTTCAATCTCTCTCTGTTCAAACACTTAGGAATGGTGTGTGTGTGTGTGTGTGTGTGTTTGCATTCTTATATGTATTCTTTCATGGTTGAGATCTAACCATATTCAAAATTTTAATTATTTTCAGTTATTTAGTTTGTCTAATGATAAAAGTCACTGTAGAAGATTTCAAAATTATTGTCAAGTACAAAGAGGTAAAACTTACCAATTATTCCCAAACCTGGATATTATCATTATATTACTATCCATCTCTCTCTCTCAAGAGAGCCACACTGTATGTACAGATTTAAATCATCACTTTTTAATTTTAATATTATTTTGTAAGCATTTTCCTGAGCAATTAAACTTCTTTCAAATTATTTTAAGAGCTACTATATATTTTATTGTATGGATATATCATAATGCAGTTAATCATTCCTCTTTCAGATATTTAATGGCTGTTTCTTTTTTCTGCTTTGATAAATAGCACTGCAATCAACAACTTTGTTGGCATCTGATTATTTTCTTAGAATAGATTCTGGAAGTAAAATTGACTTAAAGGCTTGAACATTTTAAAGATTCTTGATAGCCTCAAAAACTTTTCAGAAGATTGTATCAATTTATAATTCCATTGCTAGTGTTTAAAAGTTAGTTTCATCCAATTCTCCAAATATGGGTGCTGATTTTTAGAAATGAATGCCAACAGTTGGAAAATAACAGCCTACATTGTTTTAGGCATTTCTTTTAACATCTTTTTTTTTTTTCCTGGCCCAATGTATTGCAAAATAATCTTATAATTAAAAACACAAAATTTTCCTAAAATGCTTGTTCTAGTTGTATATGAAAGTGCACTTTTTTCAACATTATTTTGTATTGTTTTATTTCAATGATTAATGTTTTACACTTTTCTAACTTCAAATTTGAAATATTTCTTTAAATTCACAATCATGTCCTTCACATATTAATATTTTCCTATTGAATCTAGTATCATGAAGAGAACTGGGCATCTATTCTCTGATTGTATAGATCCCAGAAAGATAACTCAATTGCCTCTCAGTTGCCCCTTCTTAAATATTCCCAGTAGTCACTAATGTGGCTCTTAGTGACATGTTCTCATACACTTCTAAGCATATATGTGATTGCAGTAACTCATATTTGCAAAAGAGTTTTTCATTCACAAAAATCTTCCAGATCCATTATCATTTTTGCCCTTATGAGGTATCCAGGGGAGGTTAGTGTCATTCTCATCATTTTAGGAAGGTGGAGGTTAGGTTCCACACGAGAAAGCTGTCAACATTGCCAGTGAAGAGTAAAGTCAAGACCCAGACCAGGTCTTCAATTCCTAGATCTTTTACTTTTCATCAAATCATATTACTAGTGTTGCTAGTGTACAGGAGTAAAAAATGACTCCACACAGTGTAAGAAAGTCCTGTAATAATGTTAAGGGACTCAATAGCAAATGCATGTACTCTATTTTTAGAATGAGACTGATTTAAATTGGGGGGCTTTTAATTGCAGTGATCAGTTTTAAACATTCAATGTAGAAACATAAAGATGCAATAATATAAATGAGCCAGCTGCATTTTTACACAGAGCATGAACTGATGAGTTTATGAATGAGTGATGAAAATCAAGCGAGTAATAATATTCCAGGCCAATTCAATAGCCTAAATTATGTATCAATCAGTACCTTAGTTTCCAATATACACCTCCCCTCCCCCATGAACATTTTGAGAAAAGACAAGTTTTCAACCGCTCTAGAAACATAACAAGCATTGTACATTGATATCTTTCATACTTTTTTGAAAACGAAAAGATCATTTTTCATTTTCCTACCTGAAAATGGCCTTCCCTTTTGCCTCATTTAAAATAAAATTGTCCATGGTTTTGTGATCTTGTGAGAGCTTATTTGATTTAAGCAGCTTTATAGTATTTTACCCCATAGGAAAAATTTTCTTTGCCATATCTGCAAACTAAAATATCCTTTTCTAACGAGCGCATTAGCTCTCCCTCTCTGGATGGTTTTTATTCACTGGTAGGATCTATCTCTGAAGACGCTGTGGAAGCAGGCTGTCGGTCTTCACAGGTGTAGCCAGGAGCTGCCCTATTCGCATGGAGGCGGGAAGATGCCTGGAGTTTCTCCTACACATTCCTAGGCCCCCGTGGCCACTTCTGCCCTTGGTGCTACGCGATAGTCGACCTCACTAACGCCCCGTCGCGCACGCGCACTCACTGCCCCCGCCCTAACTGCACCTGCCAGGTCATAAACCCCTTCCCACCCGCTCTAGCTCTCACTAGAAGGCTCAGTCTTGTCTCACGTTGATTGGTCGAAATCCAAGAGGGTGCGTCCAATCAGCAATCCCTCCTGCTCAACCAATTCCCGCTCTTCCCGCCCCCTCCCCGCCCCACCCATCCCTCTCAGGCACCTTTCTTCTTTGTGACTGGTGCGCGCCCAGGTCACTCAGTGCGGCAGGCAGAGGTGTGCCGGAGTGGGAAGGAGGGGCGGGAGGAGGGCGGGGAGGGGTGGGGAAGGGAGGGGGCGGGGCTCAGGTGCCGTGCGGCGCAGTCCTGGCCAGAAGCGGGAGGGGGCGAACTGCGGAGCGGGGCGGGGGCTGCGGCGAGGAGGGCGTTACGCCGGCGACGTCGGCCGCGCGAGGCTTCGCGCGTGAGCGGCGTGGGCACCGGGCCTGGCTACCGAGCTTTCCTGGCGGGCGAGCAGGTCCTCTACGCCGGCTCCTGGGGGAGCGCGGGGAGGAGGGAGGTGTCGGCGTCAGCGGTGTAGTCGACGGCGGTCCTGGCCATGGAAGAGACGCAGCCGCTTCCGCAGTCCGAGCTGGCGCTGTGCGACAGCCTCATCATCTGGGTGAGTGCGAGGGGCCGAGGGGGGCCGAGGGGCCGCGGCGAGTTCCTGGGGCAGCGGGGTGCCTGGTTCTCGCAGGTGAGCCAGCCGAGGAGCGAGGGTCACCTGCGCCCCGAACTCCGCTCATTGCCCTCCGCGTCTCCGGTCGCCCTTGACCTCGAGAGTGCCACCTGCGGGTCGCGGGGCAGGTGTGCGTAGGTGAGTGAGTGTGTGTACGTGTGTTTCTGTCTTCGAGAGGGGGAGGAGGGAGGGTGAAAGGAGCTGGGGGTAGGGGAGCGGGAAGGAGGACACTCGTCTTACCGCCCTGATCATGCTCCTGACAGCTGTGGCGGGAGCCCAGCGCCCATCCGTTTACTCCCAGCTGGGCCATTTGCTCCCCTCTGCTCTGCGCCCAGGCCCTAGACTTTCTGGACCACCGACACCCTTGCCTTCCGTCTGCAGAACAGCCTTCTCATAGAGACCTTTATGCTACTTGGGAGTGAAGACCCCCCTCTGAAACCTCCCTCCCACTGCAACAACCTAGCTCTACTTTGGACGCAGGTGGCAAAGAAGTGGTTTTAGTTCATGCGTCAGGGCTTCTCCTGGACCCCAGGACATCCGTTTTTGTAGAAACCTTTTAGAAGAGATGTTTCCACGTACATATATACTGCGTGGATCAGAAGATATATTGGGAGTGGGGTGCTCGTATTCTCTCTTTCTCACTGGTTCCCCTCCTCTTCCAATGGACAAGCATTTTCTTTAAAGAAAAAAAAAAACTTGGCATTTTCGTTTGCACTTTATCCGCACTTGGTAGTCCTATTAATTTATGTTGGGTTTGGACAGACAGGATCTGTCCTCAGTATTGCGATCAACAGAAGTGTCTCACCTTTTGGAAGTGCTCAGCGATCGGAAAGAGCTGACAATCAGGTGTGGCTTCTAATCCATATTGGGCAAGTTTGACGCTCCATGGTCCACAAGGTTCAGTCAGTGATGCTCACCCCAAAGCAGTTGTTTAGTTTTGTGTCGCGGAGTGTGTGTAGAATGGAACGTAAACAGACTAGATTAGGAGGCAGTAATTGATGAGTTTCTCTAGCTCTCAATGCATATAATTCAAAAGAATGAGAAATCAGGGAAAGTTTCTGGCAGTATGTGAAGTCTCTTGTAAATAACCACAATGTAAAGCTACCTTTACACTTTGGAGGTAAATAGTTTTTGCTCCAAGTAAAATGCAAGCATCTGGAGTTTCTGAGTGAAAAGCAATTAACTAACCATTCACCCGTATTTTCACTTAAAATTAGTATGGGATTTAGATGCCATATTTAAGGTTGCATGAAACAAGGCAGTTACTTCTAATGGTGTGGTTTAGTAAATGACTAATTAAAGGGTGTTTCCTAATCTGTTGTGTTGTTGCTCTAAACATCTGACTTATATAGTAAACTTAGTCTTTATGATGTCATTGACTCATATGAGGGTTGGTGGTGAAGTATAAGATTTTCATGAATTTTATTTAAAATGTTTAAAATATTTTGTGACTATATCCATTCTTTTAATCAGTATTAATAGTGAAGTTCCTACTTTGTATAAGGCACTGAGGAAGAAAGATATCAAGAATAATCAAAGAATCTTCCATTGTAATTGGTGTGGTAGGTAGATCTGTGTATTTTTTATAATGGAAGGCAGAATTCCTTAAAAACAGTAAAATTTTTATTTTTTTTCGGCCATGCCATTCAGCATATAGGATCTTTGTTCCCCCACCAGGGATGGGATTGAACCCATGCCCCCTGCCTTGGGAGTGCAGAGTCTTAACCACTAGACCTCCAGGGAAGTCCCATGTAAAAAAATTATTTAAAACATAAGGAATGATAATAGATTACAGAGTATAATCGGTTGTTTGCTTCTCCAGTTCTCTCAGGCTGCTGAAACACTATGGAGAAAATGGAATTAATGTGCAGACTGTTGCCTCTCAAATGCTGCTATAGCTAAATCCTCCTGTTTCCATACCCAGCCCAGCTTTATTATTAAGATTAACCATACAGTTCCTCTCATGTTGCTCTTTGCAAACCTTAATCAGTATCCTGTTTGAGCCCCAACCCTTCTCCCCATCAGGAAAGTGACCTCCTTCTTATCTTTGGCTCTGGCTCTAGATCCACACCTTCCACCTTGTCTAAAACTTTGTCATTTATCCCCTCTAGTATCTATTTTTTCCTTTCCATTAGCTCCTTCCTCACTACATGTAAACTTACTCAAATCTTCCCTCTCCTAAAGAAGAAAAACAGAAAACCATCACTCTCTATTGAACCACACTGTATCCCCCCACTTTCCTTCAGTCATATTTCTTTCATTTTTAAATACTCATCCTTTATACTTTTTGAACTTTTATTTACATCTCAGCCCACTGCACTTGAGTTCTTTTCTCTAAGGCCTTCTCATACTGGGTTTGGCAAACTGGAAACTTATATTATCCTTATGTTAATTGGTGGTTCCTTTGTGAAATTATCTTCTGCCTTAGTTTCGTGGGTTCTTGCCTCTAGGCTTTTCTTTACTTCGTTGGATGATTCTTTGGAGAACTTTGCTGGTTGTCCGCCACGTCACTGTAAGTGTTCGCTTACCTCCCCGACTTTCTACAAGCTACCCTCATGCCTCGCTTCTCTGTGCTCCCATACTGCGTTGACTTTCTTTAGGAAGATAAGCATTTGTGTGGGGTTTTTTGGTTTTTGCTTTTGTTTGTTTTTATTTGTAAATGCATCACAGCTTTTTAACTTCTCTTTCCTCTACTTTGAAATATCCTTCTTCTAGTTCTTTCAGTGGCTGATTGACTTGTTACCTTTCATTTCTTGGGTCTAGTGTCATCTTTCAGAGACATGCTGTGACCGTGAGTACCCTACTCATATCCCGTTGTAACCTGTTAACCTCTTTTTGTTGTGTCTGTAAACATTTAACATTTTCTGAAGTCATCTTGTTTGCACTTTGGGAACAGAGCCCTTGCCTGACCTGTTTTCGGTTCTGTCCCCAGGAACGAAAACTGACTAGGATCTCTAGTACAACATTGAATCAAGGTGATGATAGTAAATATTCTAGTCTTGGTCCTGATCTCGAAGACTAATATTTCACCGTTGATTATTTCACCACTAAGTACCTGGGATACATTTTTAACTGTTTCATAGAGGATTGATGTATTACGGTAACTCATTACGGTTACATTACGGTAACTCATCTCGGCATGCCAGGTTATCACAAAGACCATTTCTGGAGCCTTCTCACTGACACAGGCATAACGCTGTTTTTTCATTCTCTTGTCACTCTTACTGCTATCCACAACATACTAAGAATGTCTCTCCCTTGTTACTCTTCAGTGATTCTTCATCACCCAGAGCAGTAGTTCTAAACAAATTATGTGCATAACAATCACTGGGGGATTTTCTGATTTGTCTGGAGATTCTGATACATGTTGTCTTAGACTCCACACTTTGAGAAACCCTGACTCACAGCTAATGTGCAAACAGCTGTTGAATTTGTACCATGTGCTAGACACAGATCTAAGTACACTGTGTTTGCTAATTTATTTAATTCTCACAACCATCTTGTGAGGTAGAAACTATTCTGCTGTTTCCCCATAATATAGATAATACCCTGAAGGTGAATTCCAAGTTTCTTACCATGGCCCTTCTGAGTTCTACCCTGTGTCCCTTGGTTGTCTCCCCTTAGCACTGAAATGCATAGAAATCCAGCAATACTAAACTGTGTGTTACCCAAAAATACCATTTCTTTTCTTGTATTTGTACTCTTTCCATGTTGCTATCTCCTAAAACTTCCTTCTCCTGGTCCTTTCTATACTCAAGACCATCCGTTGGAATCATCTCTAAGAAGTCTTTCCTAGTACACACCCTAATTAGATTAGCTGGCTCTTACACAGTTCAGAACATTTTGTGCATACTGCAGTCATGGGAGTAGTAGTGGCATCCTCTAGAAATGATTTGTGTCTTTTTCTCCTCTCCTTAATTCTCAATTGAAGCTACTTAAATGTGGAAACCTGGTAATGTTCCCTTGTAATTCCACCTTATACTACAGTGCCCTACGTACAGTAGAAAGCTCAGTAAAGTATCTGTGCTTTGAAAGTAACTGTGGCTCGATTTCGTTTCTGTCAATCTTCCTTGTTGTATTAGGATAATAGAGACAAATTTCTAGAACCTCAAAATACAGCAACCACTAAAGGTGTTTTATGGTGATAAACTAAGGAATTATAATTGAATAATTGAAGAGTAAAGGAGATGAATAAGTGTGGGAAAAGAGAATCATAGTATATTTAAGATCTTTGCAGATTGAGATTTGATTTCTAGAAAATATATAATCCATTTTAGCTCTGTTATAATTTGCTTTTAAATAATTCCTCTATCTTGTATTTACCTATTAGAAAGAGCTGCCACCATTTCACTTCTCTTTTCAAAATATACATGAATATTTAACAGAGATTTGGAAAGTTAGTAGTTCCTAACACCAAATTAGATAGAAACAACTTGATGTTGTAGGTGGGCCCTGGACTGTTCATGCTCTAAGGATAACTGTTGGTAGCAGGCAGAAGAAGTCTTACCTAGAGCTCAGTGATAAACTAAGAGTGTTAAAC